ATATATATATTAGTGCTGTCAATCGATTAAAAAAATAACTAATTAATCGCACATTTTTTTCTGAAATTAATTGCGATTAATCCCACCTAACATGAAAGTTTTTAAATATACTTTTAGTTTGCCATAATTTCACATTCAATCTTCAAATTAATGTACAAACAACATAAAGACAGTATATTTTAATATTTGTTTAATGGCATCTTTTTTTATGACTGAAGGCCAGTATCACTGATACCAATATTACTGATGTCTCTATAAAATAGTTTTTCCCCATAATATTTAACCATTGACTACAGCCATGAAATTGAAGTTATCAAACACTAAATTCTAAATTAAATATAGATGAATCCTTAAAGCTATAAAAGTTGTTGATTTGTGCTTTTTTTTTCTTTGTTCTTTGATGAACAGACATCACAGCAGCTGGTTATCAGGTTGTTTTGGCTGCTATTACTTTAAGAGCTGTCGCTGTTGAACATGATGCAGATCTGACACGATTTTGTCTCAACTGTATATATAGAATTACTTATTTTTATTTTTTGGCCATGTATATATGAATGTAATGTATTTTTTAAATATATTTTAGGATTGAAAATGTATTTTCATACCCCTACATGTGTGTGTGAGGGTTTAAACAAAATTTAAAATGTATATTTAAAATTTTGCCTTGTTATTTTCTGAAGCTGTTCACCACATATAGTTTGCATATTTTCTACATATACAGTGGTGTGAAAAAGTGTTGGCCCCCTTCCTGATTTCTTATTTTTTTGCATGTTTGTCACACTTTAATGTTTCAGATCATCAAACAAATTTAAATATTAGTAAAAGATAACAAGTGAACACAACATGCAGTTTTTAAATGAAGGTTTTTATTATTAAGGGAAAACAAAACCCAAAACTACATGGCCCTGTGTGAAAAAAGTGTTTGCCCCCTAAACCTAATAAATGGTTGGGCCACCCTTAGCAGCAACAACTGCAATCAAGCGTTTGCGATAACTTGCAATGAGTCTGTTACAGCGCTGTGGAGGAAATTTGGTCCACTCATCTATGCACTGTATGTTGTCCTGAGGTTTTTAATATTTTTGTCCGTATGGCTGAAGTTGTATTGTGTAAGTGTTGTTTGTGCAGGCGGTGGAGGGCACGGGTCTGGCGTTCATCGTGTACAGCGAGGCCATCAAGAACATGCCGCTGTCTCAGCTCTGGTCTGTGCTGTACTTCATCATGCTGCTGCTCTTAGGGATGGGGAGCATGCTGGGAAACGTCACGGCCATCATCACCCCGCTGGCAGACATCAAGCTCCTGTCGCGCTCCCTCAGCAGCGAGAGCATCAACGGTACGAGAACCAGCTTCAAACTGCCCTAAACACGCCTCGTACTGCTCAATAATACTGATATAACTAGCTCAACTTCATATATGCTGCTAAAGTAAAATTTTTAGCAAGTATGTCTTTAATTTTAATTTTAACATGATTTATTTTCATTTAGCATTTTTTACTATTTAATTCATGAATTTTTGTATGATTTAATTCAACATTTTTATTTTCATTTTATGTTATTAATTTCAGCGTGTTTTTGATTTTTATTGTAAAATTATTTTTACATTTTATATCTACATTTTTATGATTTAATTGATTTTCAGTAAGAGTTTTTGATTGTTTTTATTTAAACTTTGTGGATTTCTATTTTACATTTTTATGATTTAAAGTGTTTTAGATTGTTTTTATTATAATTTGTTTAACTAGTAATTAACATTTTTAGGATTTAATATATTTTTTGTTAGTGTTTTTGATTGTTCTTATAAAATTACTTTTTTATGATTAGATTTTTAGTAAGTGTTTCTGATCGTTCTTATTTTAAAACAAAAATTATTTTCATTTGACATTTTTAGGATTTAATAAATTTTTAGTAAGTGTTTCTGATCATTTTTATTTTAACATTTAAAAAAATATATTTTACATTTTTATGATTTAATTTATTTTTGGTGTTCTTGATTGATTTTATTTTAAAATATATCTGTTTTCATTTTTCATTTTCTAAATTAATTTTTAATTAGTTTTTTTTAATCTTTTTTTTTTTTAAATTTTGTATTGTATTCGTTTTTGTTTGTATTAAATTAGTTTTTTGATTATCTGTTTGTTGTGAATTGAGTAAATATTGCTTAACAAGATTCCTTTAATTTCCATGCATATGTTTTCATCTCAGTTGCTATAATTAAATTGTATTAGCCTGCATCACAAAACCTCACAAAAAATATTCTTGATGTTGCTTAATTCTATATTTATTACTCAGTGTACTGTTTATCTTATAGGGCCAGTATAGAATAACAGTATTGCACAGTTTTGCTCAGCAGATGCTCTTTATGTTTATGTTTCTTGCTTGAGTTTGTGTGTTTTCTGAGCGCCCCTCTCAGATCTGGTCTGGTCTGTGACGTTGGTTTTCCTCTGGTCTCTGGCAGGTCTGGTTTGTCTTCTCTGTTTGCTGCTGGGTTTCGGTTTCACCAGCCGCTCTGGAAACTACTGGTTCACCATCTTCAACGAATACGCGGCTACGCTGTCGCTGCTCTTCATCGTCTTCCTCGAAGTCATCAGTGTGTGTTACGTCTACGGACTGAGAAGGTGAGCAATTCAACGGCTTTTAAAAACACTTCATGCACAGTAGGAACTAATTAGTGTGCAAAACTAGTGTTTTTTTTAAGTGTTTATACTGATAAAATTTCATCGTACTGAGGGAAATGGTTGTTAATAGACAAAAATATTAAACCATTTAATATAATAATGAAGAACTGTTAGCAGAACAATGTCTGAGGACAATGAAAGCAATCAAAATCAACAAAAGAGCAACGATACACAAGTGCTATAACAAGTCTCAGTTAGCTTAACACAGCACACGTAGCAAGTTTTTTTAAAAATCATATAATAAATAAAAAGAAAACAGATAGAATAGAAAAAGAATAGAGCAAGCTAGTGTTAGAGGCTTTTTTTGCTTTTGTTAATTGTATAATAAATAAAAAGAAAACAAATAGATAGAATACAAAAAGATTAGAGAAGCTAGTATTAGTTTAAAGAAAACAAGCAGTTAGTACATGAATAGAGTGCAAGTCTAAAAGGGGCAAGTTTTTTTAAAATAAAGAATAGAATTAGAATAGAGAGTGCTAGAGTTAGAGGGTCAAATAAAGATGGAAGAGATGCATTTTTAGTCGTTTCTTGAAGATGGCTAAGGACTGTAATAATAATAAAAATTATTTTATTTTAAAAAAAAATTTTTAATTTGATTTTGTACTTATTTTAATTTTTTTAATTTTAGAAAGGATAATTTTTTTTTAATTCAAAAATGTATTTATTATTTTGTTTTATTTTATTTTGTACATATTTTTTATTTTACTTAAAAAAATATTTTTTTTCATATTATTTTATTTAAATGTAAAAAAAAAAAAAAAAAAAGATCTTTTGAACCTTGTTAAACTAAAAATGGAAAAAATCCCTCCATTGCTCAGATGTTCATGTCTCGGGTGATTTTGATGTTTGTGCTGATTTATGGTTGCTCGTGACTGACAGGTTTGAGAGGGACATCGAGGACATGTTGGGTCATCGGCCGAACTGGTATTGGAAGGTGATGTGGGCCGCCGTCAGTCCTCTGCTCCTCTTCAGTCTCTTCATCTTCTACATCATTAACTACATCCAGGGCGGCACGCCCACGTACCAGGCCTGGGACAAAGATCTGGTACGATCCGGCTTCTCTAACATCACTGTTTACTAAACGCAGCTTCATGAGCAACTGGTGGCTTGTGAGGAAAATGGCAAGGGATTTGTGAGTTGATGGAAAGCTAATATTCAATTAAATCATGCATTTGTAAAATCAAAATCAAAACTAAATACAGCACTTGAATCAAATAAAAATGTAAAATGAAAATAGTTTTTAAAATGAAAACAGTCAAAAGCACTTAAAATTATTTTAAAAATGTAAAATGAAAATAAATGATTTTAAAATAAAAACAATCAAAAATACTTGATAAAAATGAATTAAATCATTAAAATGTAAAATGAAAATAAATCAATTTAAAACAGAACTTACTAAACATTAAGTAAATAAAAAATTTTAATGAAAACAAATGAATAATTTTAAAATAAACTAAACATTACTAAAAAACTAAACTACTAAACATGAATTAAATATTAAAAATGTAAAAGGACAATAAATCAATTTAAAAATAAAAACAATCAAAAACACTTACTAAACATTTATACAATTTTAAAAATGTGTGTATGAGTGTGAGTGAGTGTGTGTGTGTAATGAGTGTGAGAGTGTGTGTGTATGAGTGCGAGTGCGTGCGTGTGAGTGTCAGAGAGTGAGTGACCAAATGTCCCCACAAGGATAGTAAAACCTGAAATTTTTAACATTGTGGGGTCTGGCCTGCGGTCAGAGGGAAAAATGATTAAAAATAGTAAATGATGTTTATCTGAAAGCTTAAGAAGGCATACAGGTTTTCTGTAAGGGGTAGGTTTAGGGTTAGGGGATAGAAAATATCGTTTGGTCAGTATAAAAGTAATAGAAGTCTATGGAAAGTTCCCACAAGTCACAGAAACAAACGTGTGTGTGTGTGTCTGTGGCTCAGGGTCGGTCGGTGGTGAAGGAGTACCCGGTGTACGGTCAGGTTTTCATCGCTCTGCTGCTGCTGTCAGCGCTCAGCTGTGTGCCGCTCGCCGCTCTTCACGCCGTCTGCAGGAGAAAGCAGCGAGGAACGCCGATCCGTGAACACCGGCACGCCTGACGCTCAGACCCGCGCAAACACACACATTATGAATACTTTCTGTTTTTGGTCAGAAATCAAGCTATTAGGACGCTTTCTATATTTCCTTCAGAAAACATGAAATAGTATCAGATTCATGATTAAGGATGATCAGAAAAGTGCTTTTTCCCATAACACTTTACTTAAAGTACTTATGTATAATGCATTATAATTCAATTTCATAATGTACATTGTAATGCATAATATCTTTTCATAAATAACTGCAACCAAATTTAAAATGCATTATAATATTTGAAGATTTGTTTGTCATGTTTTAGTGCATTATTCTTCCTAAGGTGTATGAATTAATAGATAAGTATGATAATGTATTATTCATGAGATCATGCATTATGGGTGCATTGCAATGCAAGGCATAATTCATGCATCAAACTACTTTTAAAATGCATTACATATAATGGCTTTATGTAAAGAATAAAAGTATTTATACATTACATTTATACATCCAAACACTGAATATCTGGACTGTGAAGAGCATTTAGTGTGACTGATTGAGAATGTAAAACTGTGTAAAGTTTTTACTGCGGTTCATGTGATATTTTAGAAGAAAATGAATTTTGTATAGTTGTCAAATCATAATCTTTTATATGTCTGTGAAATGAACAATGACTGTGATGTTTGACAGGTAGAAATATCATCAGACTCAATGTTTTATTTTAATGTAGAACTTGTGTATTTGGAGTAATTAAATATATATACGTATATATATATATATACACACACACACACGGATGTATTCAGAGGAATTCCAGTGAATTTTGGATAATCTTCCAAGTACTGTATTTTATGCCAAAACAAAAGTCATATTATGTCTTGAAGTCCTGATGAATTCTTGTCTTTTAGGTCTTTGTCAATATCTTGTTTGAAATCACAAAAACCTTTATTAAAAAATTAAAAAAAAGGCCATCAAAGTTGTCCTAAGACAAAGACAACACAACTTTGATGAAAGGTTTTGATCCACTTCAAATGTTGACTACTGTATTTAGAGTTTCAACAACAACATTTCAAACAACGTTTAGTCTGGAGTTTATACACTTGTTTATTATAATAAATCATACATTTTTTGTGCTCTATTTCTCCGTTATATTGGATATATTGCAGCCTTTCTCTTACTTCTTGGACAACGCTTCATGAAAGCAATACTTTTTCAAACCATTCATCTTGAAAATAACATGCATGGAAACTATACTTCAAGTTCATTAAACAAAGGATGTAAAGCAAAAATAAGTTATTAGTTTAAATGCATTTCTAGAGTCATAATTGTGTGGGAAGTTTTAAACAAATGTATTTTCATATTTGTTTTATACAGTTTTGTAATCATTAATGCCTGCTACGCTTCAAAGTCAACATGAAACTGCATCAGAAACATGTTTTAATTTTTTTACATTTTGTATTCATTATTTTACATTATTCTGACTTAAAATTCAGTGTATTTCTCAAACGAAACACATACATGACTTCAGGAGACGTGGACTGTAGAATCTCCAATCATATGACTGAATTAAAAAGTAATCCTGCTGTTAATGATGGTTTATGAGGCAGATTTTTGACTGACAGATGTGTTCACAATGAATTGTCACGTGTTTGTTTTATAGCGCAGCATAAACGCTCATTTGTGTCATGCAGGTTTGGAACGACTTGTGTAAATAATTTTTATGGAAGCTTATTTCCGGCACAGAACAAACAAATAAAATGCGAATTGTGACTTTTTATCTCACAATTTAATAAAATGAATAAAATAAAAGAAACATTTTACGAAAGTCAGAACTGCAAGCTATGAACTTAGTTTGTCTCACAATTCCGGATGTAGTTTCTCAAAATGTATATCTCTAAGTTCATAGTTTGCAATTCTGACTTTCGCAAAATGTTTATTTTGTTTTATTAAATTGTGAGATAAAAAGTCACAATTCGCATTTTATTTGTTTGTGCTGTGCCGGAAATTAGCTTCCATAAAAATTATTTACACAAGTCGTTCCAAACCTCAAATAATCAATATTAAATATTGATCGTAAAATATGAAATCAAATAAAAAAAAATGTGAAATTGAATTAAAAAATGTAAAATGAAAGTAATTTTAAAATAACATTCTATACATTTAATGAAAGTGAAATCATAAAATCTAAATAGTAAAAAAATGTAAACGTAAGAAAATTTAAAATATATAAAACAATTAAAACACTTGCTAATTATAAATTTAAAAAATATTTTTAGCAGTAATTCCATTTTTTGTTTTTTTGTAGTTTATCTGCCTGTCATGTGACCATTAACTGATATCAGAATTCTGATACAAACGGCAAGAAACTTGCAAGAAAAAAAAAAAAATTCTGATTAGGCCTGCCTTTATTATTTTTTATTCCATGGCAGAAACAAAAACAGAACTTGCAACGTTAACAAATGCAATTCTGAGGAAATGTCAGAATTGTCACTATAACCTTTCTTTTATTCAGTGGCAGAAACAAGCTTCAGTATCATAGTAATTAGTAGGTGAACGGTTTTAATGCATTCGCTGCTCGTTGATTTCACGTGGAGAAAAAGCTTTTAATTGGACGATCTCCTGCGGTCACATTGCGGCTCTGCTGATCCGTTCTGGCATTTTCAGTCTGTTATTTCCATTCAATTTGAGCTCAATGCAGGTTCAAAGCACACACGTTATGAAATTTCAGTCAGGAATGTCATGCAAACACGTTCCAGTCAATGCCACTGACCTGCTTCAACAACACCAGTCTGAACACAGTCATTTGTCATTTTATAATGTATTTTTGCACCATTTCTGGAACATTTTGTGCTGTTTGTCCCTTAAGACTGAAACTGACCAACACGCGTGTCATAATAACTTTAATAACAATAATAGACATTATTTTTACATTCTCCGATAAGCAGTGAGACACAGAGGAATCAAATGAAGAGCATCGCAAACATAAGGCATCATTTGTTCGTCCGTCCGTCAGAAGCAGCGAAACACTCGCAAATCAGAGGAAACAGAGATGGCACGCGGAAAATCCTTTGGACAATGAGACGCTGGTTCCAAGTAAAGATTCATATGAATCAGTCTGGATTCCGAACAGATTCGGTTCATTTGGTTCATTCAGAGCAGACCAAATCTCTCAGAATCAGTTCGTTTATAAAAGTTCAAAATCACAGACTGAGGAAGACCATGATAGTGAAAAGGAGGATAAAATGAGTCCATTTAACCACGTGTATGCTGTCCATCTCAAATGCTCAAATTCACTACTAAACGCTGTGACCTGCAGCTGCCGCAACGCAAAATCAGAGGTTTGTCTTGTTTTCTAATAAAAAAGAATTACATTTTATATATAAGCAGAATTGAAGATATTAAGATATATTTATTTTGTAATGTTTAGTTCCTTGTTTTAAACAAACATCTTTAAAAAAACGTTAGTGTAACATATTTGCTGAAAACAAAACATACTGTCTTAGTAACACTTTATAAGATTCAATTTGTTCACATTAACATTTCATCAACTAAAAATGATATTTATAGCATTTATTTTTACAGAGTGAAAATAATATAGATTAAAAATATTGATTTATATTCATTACTAATACGTTAATGTTAATTTAAAAAATGTGCAAATGTATATATTAAAAATGTATATGCAGAAATTCATATTAAGCTTGATTAATAAATGCTGTAAAAGTATTGCAATTTGTAAGTTCATAGCTTTTGCATTAGCTAATAGAAGCTTAATGCAAAGAGTGACCGTTCTCAAATATTTTTTGGTAATGTTTTGCATTAGTTAATGTATTAACTCACATGAACTAACATTAAGAAATATATATATTTTACTACAATTAATAATCTGTTATGGAAGCTTGTTTCCGCCAAAGGATAAAAAAAATTATAAAGGTAATTGTGACAAACTCAGAATTGCGAAAAAAGTCTGATTTGTCGGACATAAACTCAGAATTGCGGGAAAAAAATCTGAATTGTCGGACAAACTCAGAATTGCTGGAAAAAAGTCTGAATTGTCGGACAAACTCAGAATTGCGAAAAAAATCTGAATTGTCGGACAAACTCAGAATTGCGAAAAAGGTCTGAATTGTCGGACATAAACTCAGAAATGCGGGAAAAGTCTGAATTGTCGGACAAACTCAGAATTGCTGGAAAAAAAAAGTTAATTGTCGAACAAACTCAGAATTGCGAAAAAAGTCTGAATTGTCGGACAAACTCAGAATTGTGAAAAAAGTCAGAATTTTCTGACAAACTCAGAATTGCAGGAAAAGTCTGAATTGTCGGACAAACTCAGAATTGCGGGAAAAGTCTGAATTATCGGACATCAACTCAGAATTGCAGGAAAAGTCTAAATTGTCGGACAAACTCAGAATTGTGAAAAAAGTATGAATTGTCGGACAAACTCAGAATTGCGGGAAAAAAGTCTGAATTGTCGGACATAAACTCAGAATTGCGGGAAAAAAAGTTAATTGTCGAACAAACTCAGAATTGCGAAAAAAGTCTGAATTGTCGGACAAACATCAAATTGCAAGAAAAAAGTAAAAAATGTTGTATATAAACCCAGAATTGCAAAAAAAATGAATTGTGAGATATAAACTCAGATTTGAAAAAAAAAATTCTGAACTCTCTGATATAAATTTGGAAATGCGAGGAAAAAAGTCTGACCTGTTGGAAACTCAAATTGCCCAAAAAAAACTAAAAAATGGAATTGTAAGATATACTATGAATTGTGAGATAAAAAGTTGAAATTATTTTTTTTATTCCATAGTGGAAACGGGCTTCTGTACTTTGTCAATATTAGCTAATAAAAAAAACAATTGTTGACTGTTTGTTCATATTAGTTGACTAATGTTATCAGACGCAACTTTTATTTGAAATGTATTAGCAAATGTAGAAATTAACATTAAGATTTTTATATATATATATATATATATATATACACACACACACATATATAGATAATATATATATATATATAGATAGATAGATAGATAATATGTACTGTTGATAGTTAATATTAGCTAACTAATGTTAACAAATGAACCTTATTGAAAAGTGTTACTGCATTTTTATTTTAAACGCATCTTGTTTTGTGTACAAATTTTTTTTATTAGAAAACAAGATGATGATTCTCGAGTTACGATGCGTGTGCGATTCGACACGGAAACACGTCTTGAACCACGAGGCCTGGGTCCCGATCTGCACATGAACCTGGTTTCCAGCGCTGCGTCTGTGAAGCTGCCCGTGAGCCCATGGAATTATGGGATGTCTGTGAGATACGATCCTGGTGTGGAGAGCAGCGGAGCGTCCCGTCTGGCCCCTGGCCTTCATCCTCCTCCTCTTCTTCCTCCGGTGGCGCAGCGTCAGTACAGGCTCCAGGCCTGGCGGAGCTGAGTGTAGGACAGCACTGAGGATGAGGAGGAGGATGAAGACTCGGCGGGACCAAGCTGCTTCCCACACACGCAGGTTCAGTCCATCTTCTCCTTCTGCACCAGTTTGGGCGCGTCGACGAAGTCCCGGCCGTTGAAGAGAATCACGCCGGCCGTCACCACACTCGCCGAGCCCCAGAACAACACATACGCCAGCGTCTCGGTCCAGGTGTCACCTGGGAAATACGAGAACCAGCTACGCTTTACATGTGTTTAAGACACTAGTAATACCATAAACACTAGTATTAACCCTGTAAAGCCTGACTTATGAAATAACAGCGAGAAATTTTTTTTGTTTTTGTTGAGTGTCATATTTGATGCATCAGGCTTTTATGGCTCACATAGTCTGACATAGTGAGAATATAGAGGAAAAAATTTAATTTTATTCAAAGATTATGGAAAAAAAAAAAAGATGGATTTGCTGCAGATGCTGATATTTATATGTGACCCTGGACCACACCAGTCATAAGGGTCAGTTTTCCAAAACTGAGATTTATACATCATCTGAAAGCTGAATAAACAAGCTTTCCAGTGATGTATGGTTTGTTATGATAGAACAATATTTGGCCGAGATACAACTATTTGAAAATCTGGAATCTGAGGGTGCAAAAAAATCTAAATATTGAGAAAATCATCTTTAAAGTTGTCCAAATTAGTGTTAATTTTGTCAGCTATTTTCATTTTAGTCTTAGTCTTAGTCCCGTGTTTCAATGTCCTTGTTAGTTTTTATCATATTTAGTCAACCTTATCCTATTTAGTTTTAGTCAAGTTTTAGTCATGGGAAAAAAGCTAGTTTTTCGTCATAGTCTTCGTTAACGAAATTAACACTAGTCCAAATGAAGTTCTTAGCAATGCATATTACTAATCAAAAATTAAGTTTTTATATATTTACGGTAGGAAACTTACAAAATATCTTCATGGAACATGATCTTTACTTAATATCCTTATGATTTTTGGCATAAAAGAAAAATGGATAATTTTGACCCATACAATGTATTTATGGCTATTGCTACAAATATACCCCAGCGACTTAAGACTGGTTTTGTGCTCCAGGGTCACATGTGATGAAATTCTGCTGCTTGTAATGTAAATCAATGAGATCTTTATAACAGTAGAGCAGATATTAATACTAATCTGTGTCTTACCAGCCATCAGGAGACATATGATGCACATTGAGAAAGCAACCACCATGATAATCGGCAGCTGAAAAGGGAAAAATTAATATCCAGTTATGACATTAAAGAACATTACATTAAAAATATGCACAAATGAATTGTTCATATTAAGATCAATTACATTCATTTAGAAAACAGATGATATTTTATCTACATTTCATGTCAGCTTTAATACAAGATGTAGTATTTAAAAAAGCATGCTTAAATCCTTGCAAAACTCATGAGGTCTCAGTAATATTAATGCAATCAAATCATGTATATTCGATATAGCAATAAATGTTCTACTTTTAAATTCTAAACTTATTAATAACTTGAAATCATGTTATATGTGGATGGAAGCAAGTGTAAGATCCTCCCTTTTTTCTTTTTAATAACCATAATTAGGGCCATGCAATACAGTGATTTTACCATGGTAACTGGTAAGTGATGTAAGTTGTAATACAAATCAGAAAAATAACAGTAAATCCTTATTACTGGCTTATTACTTTTATAAAGCAGCAGCAGCAGCAGCATGATGAAAGAAATCAGTGCTCAATAAATACAGTTATGTTGTATTCTGCTGCTGAAAGAGTTGAAAACAAATGCCGAAGTCGTCTAAGACAAGAGTGTCAGTGTGTTCAGGGACTTTAATCTGACCCTGGCTGCAAAGAAAACATGTTTTTCTGGGTTCACAGCTCAATCTGGTTCTTACCGTGAGGAACTTCCAGTCTTTGGGCTCATGTAGAGGAGTGTTCATATCTGCCTCTTCCACTGCATAGTTACCCAGAAACAGGTCAATGGAGTCCTGCATAAAGACATGAACCTCTATATCAGATCCTGCACTCTTCATCCACAGCAAAGAAATCAAACACAAAACACGTCTTCCTACTGCAGCGACTTCATCAGCAAGTTTAGTCCCTAGAAAAAGGTTTCCAAACTGGGGTTTGTGAGTAAAATAACAGATCAAAATCAAATAATTAAGTATTAAAAAGGAAACATAAAAAAAAAAAAAGAAAATTTAATTACAAATAAAAATAAATAAAAACATTCCGTAATTTAAAAAAAACATAAAAAATTAATTATATCACAAAAATAATGTTTAAATGGCTTTAAAATAAAAAATATTTTTAAAAGTTAAAAATATGTAAAACACAATCATAAAAATGCAAAATGAAAATAAATAAAAATTTTATTACAAATGAAAATAAATAAAAATATAAATGACATCATAAAAATAAAGTAATATTTAAACGACTTTAAAATCAGAGTATACACACATATATTATGTAAACAAAATCTTTTATTTTGTTTGCGATTAATCGTTTGACAGCACTAAAAATATATATATTATTTGTTGTATATCTTCATGTTATGTGATCAACTATCAGAGAACCGTGAACATGCAAATGTGTTGTTAAATCAGTCCCTCCAGGACTTTGAGATTCTGTGATCACTGCATTAAACGCAAAATCAACCAGTCTGCATAATTTGGAGGAGCTTGCAATTTTTCTAAATTGCCACAGATTTCCCGCATAATTTGGGCCTAGACGCGTCATGTGATGTCATCGCAACAACATGCATTCAGTCGATGCCCACTTCGAAACTGCCTTTGCTTCATCCCACTGTAAAGCGCGCATGCTCTCCAAAACACACACACACACACACACACACACACACTCACACACACACACACACACACACACTGAACAAATAAATGTTCCCCAGAACACTGTTGTATCATTATTTGATACATTTTAACACGATTTTTCTCTTTAGTCAACATTTGAAGTGGCTCAAAAAAGTTAATCAAAGTTGTCCTAAGACAAGAACACATTTTGGTTTTAGGACAACTTTGATGAAAGGTTTTGATCCACATCAAATGTTGACTAGTGTATATTATATCAATAACACTGCTCAAAATCCCTCTACTGAATCCATCAGCTATAAATCTTTACAGCATGTTAAAATACTGTTTAATCTAAGAGAGGTTTGTGTGTAAGTTACACTGTTTGTGTCACCTGTCTGAAACCGTCTGAGAAGTTGTTCTTGTAGTATCTGATCATGGAGTTCCAGCCGTCCATCAGCAAACCCCACTGCGTTCTCTTCCCTGTCCTGAACACACAGAGAACCGATCATCTTTCACAACCCAACCGAACGCTCCTCTCAAACACAAGCGGAGCACAAGACGCTCTGCTCACCGTGTGAAGTCGGTCTTCAGGGCTCCGGTCCCGGCGTACTGTTTGGCACAGGCGTTGGCATTATCTGCCCATGCTGAGGGAATAACGGCTATGAATGAGAAAGTCTCACATAGCCAGACTACTGACTATCAGTGTTCGTGTTTGCTTACCGTTCTTGTATATTTTTTCAAAATCCGCCTGTTCTTCAATCCGCTGGCCCACATGAAGAACTCCTATCCTCTACAGATAAACAAGACATTCAATTTGAGTTAATTTCGGAATGAATCAGCTGTTTGAACGGATCGAGTGAGTCGATGATTCAGTGACTGAATCATCTTTCAGAATGAATCAGCTGTATGAACGGATTGAGTGAGTCGATGATTCAGTGACTGAATCATCTTTCGGAATGAATCAGCAGTTTGAACAGATCGAGTTAATCGATGATTCAGAGACTGAATCATCTTTCGGAATGAATCAGCAGTTTGAACAGATCGAGTGAGTCGATGATTCAGTGAGTCCATATAATATTGACTAATATTGAATGAATCATCTTTCGGAATGAATCAGCTGTTTGAACAGATCGAGTGAGTCAATGATTCAGCTGTTTGAACAGATCGAGTGAATCAGTGATTCAGTGACTGAATCATCTTTCGGAATGAATCAGCTGTTTGAACGGATCGAGTGAGTCGATGATTCAGTGACTGAATCATCTTTCGGAATAGAATAGAATAATGAACGGATTGAGTGAGTCGATGATTCAGTGACTGAATCATCTTTCGGAATGAATCAGCTGTGACAATCATCTTTTGGAATGAATCCGCCGTTTGAACGGATCGAGTGAGTCGATGATTCAGTGACTGAATCATCTTTCGGAATAGAATAGAATAGCTTTTTATTGTCATTGTACAGCTGTACAACGGAAATTATTTTTATTTTTTTTGAATCAGCAGTTGAATCATCTTTCGGAATGAATCAGCAGTTTGAACGGATCTAGTGAGTTGATGATTCAGTGACTGAATCATCTTTCGGAATGAAGCAGCTGTTTAAACGGATAGAGTGAGTCGATGATTCAGTGACTGAATCATCTTTTGGGATGAATCAGCTGTTTGAACGGATCGAGTGAGTCGATGATTCAGTGACTGAATCATCTTTCGGAATGAATCAGCTGTTTGAACAGATCGAGTGAGTCAATGATTCAGTGACTGAATCATCTTTCGGAATGAATCAGCTGTTTGAACAGATCGAGTGAGTCAATGATTCAGTGACTGAATCATCTTTCGGAATGAATCAGCTGTTTGAACAGATCGAGTGAGTCAATGATTCAGTGACTGAATCATCTTTGGAATGAATCAGCTGGTTGAACAGATCGAGTGAGTCAATGATTCAGTGACCGAATCATTTTTCGGAATGAATCAGCTGTTGGAACAGATCGAGTGAGTCAATGATTCAGTGATTTTCAGTTCTGCTGTATAATGGTTTAACTGACAATCACAATTATTTTGCTCAAAATTGTACTTTGTACGATTACTGATCATGATTGTTGCCATTTGAGAAATCACATCAGAATTATTGCACTTTCACATATTAGCACAGACATGGTTTATTTGACCTCATTTAGTTTCCGGAGTTATTAAATTATTAGAAATATAAACACACTTGCTACATTATGAAAACTGGCAAAACCCAAAAGTGAAAACAGTGGCATTCCTAATATTAATTCCAATAATCGTCGGTGCTTTTTCTGTAATGTGGAGAGAGCATGCAAATGGTTGCCAGGTTGTGAAGATAAATTAATCTCATCTGACTCATTCATAAAGACAGTCACTTGCTTCGTTTCTGAATGAATCATCTATTTTTTTTGTTGAAGAAATTTTGGATATATTGAGTTTTTATTTATTTATTTTTAATTAAACTACATTTTAGTCTCGTCTTTTTCTTCAACGATCTTGCATGTCTCGTCTTAATCATGCATAAAAAGGTAGTCTAAAATATTTTTCGCCATAGTTTTTAAAAATAAAAACAACTAAATTAACACTACACAATATCAGATATTGCAATAATATCGCTGATATTCAAAGTATGGCCAAGCCCTACATGCAGATGTATTTTGGCCCAATGATGATCCCAATAAAAATAATAATAAATCACATAATCATCGACCTCTAACTGCGACTGCAGCGAGCGGCGCGCCAGCAGACTCTGGATTACGTTGGTTCGGTCCAAACAGTCCATGCAGTTGCTTCTAAACGTCCCGTCCTGCTGTAACTGCACCGTCCCGTCCGAATCCACCAGGAAGTAGCTGTTGAAAAACATTAAACAATAAGAGCATGCAAAAATCTCAATGTTTAGCATGCAACATAAAGCACTACGGACCCTAACTAGTGTTAATTTTGGCAGCCATTTTTAACTTAGTCTTAGTCCTGTCTCAAATGTACATTTTAGTTATTATCATATATAGTCAACCTTGTCCTGTTTCTGTTTAGTCAAGTTTTAGTCGACGAAATGTCTGACATTTGAAATCATAATGACATCTTAGTCACATTTTCGTCATGCTGTATAATGGTCAAACTGACAAAAAATTTTTTTTGCTCAAAAATTATAATCGTAATGATTGTTGTCATTTGAGGATTTTACTTTTGCATTTTAGGTATTGCACTTTCACCAGTAAGCACAAATCAATAGAATGTCGACTCGTACATGTTTATTATAGGCTATATATTATAAAAATTAATATCAAAGACTTGTGCACTCTCTCTGTCTACATTATGAAAACTGGTAAAACAAACGAAAAATATTATAACAGTGAAATTCCTAATAGTAATATCAATAATTCTAAATTGCGATAGTCTATCTTTGTCTATGATTCTCTGATTGCTCTGATTGGGGGATTTGAACGCTTGATATCTGGCAACCGCACTCAAGAAAGCTCGTGTAGCAGAGGAGTGTACAGCAGCACATTTTTTGAATGCATTTTAGTCTCGTCTTTTATCGTCAATGAAATTGCATGTTGATGTAACGATTCACTCAACTCATGATTCGATTCACGATTTTTTTAACAAAATTAGATTTAAGACAAATTATAAATTAAATGTGTCCTTTTATTATTGCTTAGACAAAATACTGTACGTTTCTTTGTGAAATTGAAATATAACACTATAATAATATACTAATATAGCACTTGCATATTATTGCTCTTTTGTTGGTTTTGATTGCTTCTATTGTCCTCATTTGTAA